CCGCTGCTTCTTCAGATTGAGGAGTCACAGCTGCGATGGTTTGGGCACGTACTGTGAATGTCTCCAAAAAGGAAGGCTTCGGGACTACTGCTTGCCCAGACGGCCGCCAGAAGGCCCAGGGATGGCCTTGATTTACCTGGTGCAAATATACGGATGGAGTTTGCTCCAGAGTCCAGTTGTCTTCTGCCGAAGTTCAAACTCTGGTACAGAATCGGGAACATGACGCGTTTGCTTCCACAAGCCGAAAGGAGTTGCGGTCATGGAAAGTGAAGTGAAAATCTTCTTACCCGGGAAACAGTCCTTTGTGCTTGAAATGGAAATTTTTCGGTCATGTGTGTTTGCAGTGCTAAACTATGAATCATAAGACTGGAAGCTATTCATAAGCTACAAACTACACAACGTAGCTTGGAAAGGTGTGGAGAATAAGAAGAAAAGGCAGAAACATGTGCCTGCAATGTCATTGCACGAGTGAAGACGTTGAAATGGCAAGGCGCATACAAAGCAGCCTGTCATCGTCGTAGCAGAAGACATTAGGATGGGTTCCACCACAGTTGACGGCCCATACGAAGACCTCCAGATCGATGACAGGATGAGCTGAATGAACTGAGCTGAAGTTGATTGGATCACGATGAGTAAGATTCGCAGAAAACGGAAGAATCTTATCGCAGAGTCTTGTAAAGGCGTTCGTCTAGCAGTAGATCAGAATAGCAGGATGATGATTTGGAAAAGTCAACAAAAGTAGTCAATAAGATTTGGTTGCTCATCGTCGTTTTTTTCTACAAGCTCTCGTATGGTAAATGTGTGATCCAGGCACGCCCTGGGCCATAGATGAAGAGCTTTGTGCGGAGAATCGACATCAACATAGTGAAATAATTTTCAGCACTGGCTTCTACGTCACCTGATTTATGCGTTCGACCCAAATTGGCTATTTCATGATACAGATTATATGACCTTCGCTGTGATTACTATGAAGGAACGTTTGATGTTTGCAAATATTTGTCTTGAAGTCTTTACCTCTCGGTTTTGAAAGCGGCGAGCCAGGTTTTACATTGCAGACTGGAAAATCTGATTTTCGATCATAGGCGTTTAGCCACTGTTCTGATCAGGTATTTACTAAGGGAAGGTTGTTCTACAAGCCAAGACAGAGCCAGGAATAATACGGCGTTGCTTTGCATTTCAAATGTGTCAGGTTCAAATCCGTTGAGCGGCGTCAATTTCTCTCATTCACTACTAATTCACATGAACATGCAGTTCACCCCATACCTCGATGCAAAGGGCGAGAAACAGGTAGTAGCAAATCGTTGATTTGCGTAAATAAACAAACAAACTTATGGCTAAGCCCTTCGTAGCCTTAGTTTGTTACTGGCAGCGGAGAAACTGGGTTCGCTAAATAGCCAGCCGTCGCGTTATTACCCGGGTTTATGTTAACCGACGTCACGTGAACTCTTGACCTCATTGCGCTGCTTGCGCGTATTTACAAATAGTTCTGATTCGGTTGGTGCGTTTGCATTAGAGACACCCTGTAAATTGTCATCAGAGTTATTCTTCTGTGGAAATTGATAGAAACAAACTTTTGATGTTCACCGCCGGCCTCGGTAAAGGAAAAATCCTCTTCTTACTTTGTGTCTTTTTTCTGGTTACCGGGTATCCGGCTGACCTCAGAAAGCATCGCTACGCCCCGAAGACACTGAAATAATCGATATCACGAGGTGATGTGCCGATTTTTGCAACAGGCGTTCAGTTACACGGCCTGGAAGCGAATCTTGCTTGAAGGACCACAATTCGCTTGGATGTTGTTCGTGCAGGGTACGGAATTATTCAATGCTTTTATGTTCTGCTTGCCCGACCGAAAGTGGTCGTCACCCCGTACCATCTTTGTGCGTTTTATATTGTTGCTTTTGCTGCTGTTCACTTTTAAGTTGTCACAGTAGAATTGTGGCGTCGACGGTTTATGACCCTAGTCGTTACACATCTGAAAGTGACCTTGACTGATGGGCTGACGCACAGACTGACTATCAGTTCATTTCACATCCGGAAGCTGAACAAGCCATAGGAATGAATGCCAGTTGACTCGTGACTGCGAGTAGAGCATCGTTAAGGATCGACCTCGTATGTGACGTGGCTTTTATCCCGTTCGCACTTATACTCTCTCGATCTTATTGTGAAGCAACAGACCTCCGAAGCGAAGTCTACTTTTCCTGCATCTTATTAGTAAATTTTTCGGGCTTCTCAAAAGATTGTTTTTTGATGCATCCTACAGCATTTTAGGATCGTATTTGTGAAATCAAAAGGCAAATGAAGATCACATTGATCCGACAGCACAGCCTGACCACCGCGTCGCATGCGATGGCAGCATTTTCATTTTCAGACGAGCATCCTCGTTTTTATTGATGTTTGTGACCAGTTGTCTATGACACGTATACCTTGGCATATTCGCTTTTACTACATCGTTTCCTATTAAGCATTAACAATCGTTAGAATTGTTAATAATTGCGTTGATAACACTTGA